AAACTCAATTTTTACCGGTCTAGGATTACTTCTATTTTGTGCTTTACCAATTCTGTAGAATTTTTTAAAACTAACATTAGCTTGATTTAAAGTCAGTTGTAGGATATCTTTAACTGCTACTTCCAAATCCAGAATTTCATCAACACCATACATGATTACATTTTTTTCCCTATCAATTCTACTTTTGAATTCACAGTACAATTCCATTGAGTTCAATGGTTTGACTTGTTTTTCAAGTTCAGAAATTCGAGTTTGCATAAATGAATTCTCTTTCTGCAGAATAGTAATTGTTGTCATACAAGAATCAATTTTCTTATTTTGATCCAACAAAATTTTATGTATATCTTTAACACTTTCTGCCAAACCAGACAGCTGATCAGTTATTAATTGAAATTGAGCCTCCATATCTACACCACTGGTTTATAAATTAATGTAGTCCTAAATCGATAGATATCTGAATAGTATAAATCCAGTTTTTTCCACACTCGATAGTTGGTTTTACGATAAATTAAATAGATAGGTACTCACTGTTTTGGTAATTTCAGCAAAAAAATCCAAAAATATAATATATTTAGAAAAGTTTTTTAAAATTATTAATATTAATAACTCTTGAAAGATCGTTTCACAAAAATAAATAATCACTTTACTTTCTAATTTAACAAAAATTATTTTAAAGAGAGTACAGACAATGTACGTGTTGTCAGGTCAAAGGTTCAACCCAAACTCAGATAAACGAAGTAAAACACACTTTATTTACAAATAATAAAAAAAAAAAAAAAAAAAAAAAAAAATATATACACAAGCCTTAACAAATAATGGATATGCACAAATTAAAATTTCCTCTAAAGATTTAACTTTTATCGACCTCAATATTTACTTCAAATGTGAGAGAAACAATGCAAAATACTTTATGTTCATGTGTAATTATTCCGGTTACTGTGCAAATATCTTCTTTTCTCAAGTTATTTATGGAAAATCGCATTATCTCCATATACTTGCTTGGCAGATCTAAAAATAATTAAATATTTAATAAAGTGATGATTTTTTTAGTTTAAGAGTACATTTTTATGGATTTCTATTTTTTTCAATTTTTATAACTTTTCTATGTTCCAAATTATTTCATAAAATAGGTATTAACATATTTGTGTTTGAATTATTTCAATTTAGCAAAATGATCGTAGATTTATTCATGTAAATACTAGACATGTGTTTAATAGTTGTAACAAAAAGAGTTTGTATATTTACAAAAAGTTTTCTTTTATTTACCTCATTTATAATAACAGCACCCATTTTGAACCAAAACGGTAGGTATTCCTAAAACGTTTTTAAATAAAAAAAAATCATTTTAAATCCTAGAGTACTTGAAATTAACCATTAAAATACCACACGTGGGAAGTAGTACCAATAAGAAGCAACTTTGTTGATTCATTAAAGTTATACGCTTATTCGCTTATTAAAGTAATAATCTACGTGATAACATTGTCGAGAAAAATCATAATTGACATTTAATGTATAATTTGTTTGTCATTAAACTCGTCTGGAGATAAAAAGATATTTAAAAAAAAAATTACCTTACTTTAATCTCACCACTAAACTTCCTTGCAGACAAATTAGGGTTGTATACGAGAAGCATTAAACTCACCTGAAAAAAAAAAAATTAGTTTATTATCACTTACGAGTAGAAAATTCTCTTCATTCGCGGTTTTTATAGTTGATTTTTCGATAGCGTTGAAAGGTCTATGAATTTTGATTTTACTGGAAATACTTTTCTCTTGGATTTATTTAAGTTTGTTTGACTGTCAATCTTTCAAAGAAATTGTTACAAGTCATATTTTATAGGCAAGTAACTTCTTATGAATAATCTTTAATGGTTTTTCATAGAGATTTCCGTAGCTTTTCTTTTTGCACTACTCTAATTGATTATAGGTTATCAAGCGAGTCTATTGGTGCTTGTATAATGGTGTCATATCATCGTCACTGTCATTATTATTTAATGGTGTCAACCGAAGTTTATATCGATGTGTGTATATTTCTCCCTGTTGTACATACCCATCGACGTACTTGAGTGATAACAAATCAACATAAGAAATAAATATGCCAAAATTAAATATTTTCTATTCTAAACTTAGTGATATTATCTTAGATAACTCAAAGGACTTAATTCTTTTATGTGGAGACTTTAAGTTGCTTTAGATAATTTATTTAAAAGATGACATAAAATCTATAAATCTCATAAGTATTGTAGTTTACTTATTGATACAGTTTCTTTCTCTAGTTTATGTCAGTTCAACTATTTTATAAATAAGTCTAGAAAAACATTTAGACTCCATTTTCTGTAACAGTTGTGTTTGTGTTGTTGATAGTTTGATTTTATGTGATGATTCTCTTGTAAGAGATAGTTGCTTCCATGATACCTTAAGTTTTTGGATTAATACATCAAATAGTAAAGTGTTAAATAATTTTATAAAGAAATCTCATGTCTACAATTGAGGAGCCTGCTGCAAAAAGAAAGTAGCTCCATAAATTAAGAAAAACTATTTTTAGTGAAAATTGTTTTTTTTTTCAGGTTATCTATTCCGTACTTGCTTTATGGAAGTCCTTGAGTTTCATTTACCGAGGAAAATTTTAATTTTTAATTATCCAAATATTATTTTATAAGTTTTTATTGTGGAGCTACCTCCTTCTGCCACAACAACAACAACAACAACAACAACAACAACAACAACAACAACAACAACAACAACAACAACAACAACAACAACAACAACAACAACAACAACAACAACAACAACAACAACAACAACAACAACAACAACAACAACAACAACAACAACAACAACAACAACAACAACAACAACAACAACAACAACAACAGCAACAACAACAACAACAACAACAACAACAACAACAACAACAACAACAACAACAACAACAACAACAACAACAACAACAACAACAACAACAACAACAACAACAACAACAACAACAACAACAACAACAACAACAACAACAACAACAACAACAACAACAACAACAACAACAACAACAACAACAACAACAACAACAACAACAACAACAACAACAACAACAACAACAACAACAACAACAACAACAACAACAACAACAACAACAACAACAACAACAACAACAACAACAACAACAACAACAACAACAACAACAACAACAACAACAACAACAACAACAACAACAACAACAACAACAACAACAACAACAACAACAACAACAACAACAACAACAACAACAACAACAACAACAACAACAACAACAACAACAACAACAACAACAACAACAACAACAACAACAACAACAACAACAACAACAACAACAACAACAACAACAACAACAACAACAACAACAACAATAACAACAACAAAAAATACACAAATTATTTGCTTCTTGCATTTATTGTAAATAAAATACACAACATTAATCATTGTTTTAATCTCCAATATCCTCATCCGTCATGTCTGTATCGTTATCATTGGCTGGATCTTTAGAAACGTTTAACCTGTGGAACATATTGCTCAGCCAACTGCATAACGTTGGAATATTTGCCTTCCTTCAGTTTTAGGTTAGATTGATACAGATTTGGTGGTATTTGAAACTGAAAATTATAACGCTGTATGTTGAAATTCAAATAAACTGGAAAAATTGTAGTTTCGCTACACTGCATTTCATCCATGTAGGCTTCATAGATAAAGATTTTATATTTTTTTATAAAACTTTTTTCTCTTTTCTAGCCAACAACATTTTTTTTTAAATACTTTTGGAAATAGTCGACAAAATTAAATATTATTTCTTGTGTCACTTCAACAGTTTGAAACTTCTGGCTACTTTTTCCATACAGGCGAATATATTCTGAAGGGGTATATACTCGTTTTACTTTCCTCAGATGTTTTTCCACTACACCAAATGCTCGGTCGCATGGTAAAAACGAATGGCCTGGCTCAGGAAACCTGTAGATCATTTTTTCAAAACGTCCCATTTTAACAAAGGTAAACAAATACTGCATCATGGTGTGATTCTTGTTCTGAGCAACGCAGTTATCAGAAAATAAGTACAGAATCTTTATTTCCTTGGATAAAACATTTTCAAAGTAGTAATTTAGAAGGCTTACAGTTTCATTTGGTGTCTTTCGACCTGTTACTTCGTCAAACATAAAAACATTTCAGTTTTTGAAGAATAAACACAAAAATTGTAGACCCACAGCTGACGCATGTAGAAAACACTCCAGAAGTTATTTTTGGCAGCGGTGCATTTTGCTGGTAGTCAAAACATAGTGTTTAAGTGGCTGAGTTATTTTTTGCTTCCTCTCCACCCAACCTTTGAACTCCTTGAAGAAAGAATCCGCCTTGCTTAAATGTAAGTCATGTTGTACTTTTTTACGTGTTTTTTCTTCTTCGTCCACAACAACTTTCTTTTCGGTGCTAAACAAGTCACAAATTTTGCACGTATCAGATCTTGGGCTTCCAAATGAGAGATTGAAGTTAGTCTTCAAGTTTCTAAAATAAAAATCGTACGTTACTTTTGGCTTAAACTTCTTTTTCTTCATGCCAAAAATTCTGAATATCTCTTTTTCATATTTCTCTAAATAAAGCTCATACATTTTTCTTATATTTAATTCTGATGATAAGTAATACGTTTTGTAATTTTTGTTCCTACTGTAGCGCGACGATCGTCGAGGAAAACTCTTTATATGGGAATCAACTTGCTGGACAATTTCAGGTGGAATTGCATTTACTCTATTATGGTGTTTGCCTCGCTTTTCTTTCGGAGATGTTAAACAGTCATCCTGTTTTAGGCACATCAATAGGCGTTTCACTCTTTTTGTTGAAATGTCATGCAAAGCACAAAAAGTCTTTTTGCATACTTTATTTGACCTGTAAATAAAAGAAAATGTAGAATAAATAAAAAACAAAACAGAAAAAAGAAAAAGGTTTTATGAAACTTAGAGTATACTTGTCCTTGAATGACCACTGTTATCCTTTAGATACAGGAAATACTGAAATTAAACCCGATAGATACGTGTCTTGTAGGATTTTATCACCAATTTCATTGAACTTTTTGAGTATACATGCTCTGTCCTCTTCTGTCACCCTTTCAAAACACTTGAATTTGCATTTGCAGTCGTTCATTATCTTCTGAGCCTCCTTAATTTTTTTAACACTATTTAAATGCTTTTCGCCCTTAGCTAACATACTTTTGCGTTTATTTCTCTGCCACTGTGAACTATCCACGACTAGTCTATTCTTTTTAACCCCAGGTCTAGGAGCATTTTTTGCTTCAAGTGCATCATTTTTGTCACTGCTTTCACTTTCTGAGATGTAATCATCACTTGATCTACTGCTAAATGGCTCATTAATTTTACTTTTGTCACTCATATTTATGAACTAATAATTTATAACAAATGATAATTATTCACTGTGAAATTATGGTCTGAAAACTAACCATGTGCCACCTGCCAGATAATATCTTTTAGGTTAGGTGAAATGCTGCTGTCAAAACGGTTTGAACTGCTTGTTTGGTGTAAGAAAGAAGCAGCTGCAGGAGCTACCGCTTTCTTGCACCAAACTAACGCGGAGATAAGACGAAAACTAGACATGCTTTAACCATTTATACAGTTAGATGCCTCCTTCTTGCACCAATCGGAAGAACTTCAAAAATTGCATAAGGTAGCAACATAACCAATTTTTTCTCAAATTTGGAGCTACATCCTTCTTGCAGCAAGGTCCTTAATTATAATAAAGCTTATTGTGTAGCAATTAACTATAAACTTAATTTACCTTATCTATTGCCACCGCTCTCACTTGCACAATCTTTGTGAGGTAATTAAGTCATCATTCCCAAAAAGTCCAAAGGTGTACAAGTCATATCATTCTTGGTATTACTTAGCAACTATTAAGGTCATGAAAGAAAATATCACTCTAGGTAGGAAAAGTACAACCACAGCATAGATTTCTTAACTTTTAAACTCCTAAGGAGTCGCGCAAAATTTTTAATCAACCAAGATTATGGTATCCAGTTCTGTGAAGATGACATTGACTCTAATATGAAGCATCTATGGCAGTATGTAAATTATAGGAAAAATTAAGAAATGAAACTAGTGGGTATTTTAAGTGTAAAAAACTGTAATTAGCCTAATATAACCCTGTCTTTAATTAAAAATTAGTCTAGTGCTTTCGGCTTGTTAGGCCATCATCAGGACTTCGTCTGTTACAACAAAGAATTTAAGTGGATTGACAGAGAATAATTATTAAACATAAAAGGCTATGCCAATATACGCAGGTTTTTGGTAACTTAACTTTTACAACTAATAAAACAGAAAATAACGGACAAACGCAATTTGAAGAAAATTTGGCAAAGAACTCGAGCTCCCGCCGACAAAACAAAACTAAATCAAGCAACCGTAGAACTGAAAATTCAGCTTAGTAATAACAAAAATAATGAAATGCAGAACTATCTTAGGAACTTAACAGCCACAAAAGCAACTGACTACAGTTTGTGGAAAGCAACGAAGAAATTAAATAGGCCACAACAGTCGAACCCTCCTATCTGCACTCCAAAAGGCCAATGGGCAAAAAGTAACGAAGGAAAGCTAGTGTGTTTGCCAATCACCTAGAAAACGTCTTTAAAGCCTATCCCGCAGAAAACAACTATGACATTGAAGCTGAAGTGAAAGGATTTCTGGAAAGCACACACCAACTGGAATTATCGTAAAACCGTAAAACAAATCACAAGAGCAATTTAGCATTTAAATCCCAAAAACTCTCCTGGGTATGACTTGATTAGTGTCAAAACCTGAAAGAACTTTCAGTTAAGGGAATAAAATATTTGACACTGCTGTACAATGCAGTCCTAAGAACGGGCTATTTCCGATCTCGTGGAAGGTAGCCCAAGTCATACTAATCCCTAAGTTAGGAAAACCAGTGAAGGAAACAACATCATACAGACCAAGTAGTTTACTACCCGCTATGTTAAAACTATTACAAAAATTACTGCCAGAGAAAATAGAACCAATCCTGAAGACTGGCCGATCAATACTCAACCATGAATTTGGATTTAGAGCGAAACATGCGCCGATAGAACAAGTCCATCGAGCTACAAAAGAAAAAATACAAATCTATTGAATACAAAGAATACTGCTCTGCTGCTTTCTTAGACATCGCTCAGGCATTCAACAGGGTTTGGTATGATGATAACACTGCTGTTATGGCATCTCATCAATATTATGTTATTTCTTCCCAAATCCTGCAGACTAACCTGAACGCTATTTCCGTGTGGCTAAAAACTTGGCGAATCAAGGTGAACGAAATAAAATCAATCCATGTTACTTATACCCAAAGAAGAGGAACATGTCCAACTGTGGCGTTAAATGGGCAGCTTCTGCAACAAAAAGAAAAGTCAAAATACCTAGGATTTCATCCTGACCGACAACTAACGTGGAGAACACATATACTTAGAAAGAGAAAAAATTATGCATAAAACTTAGCAAACTCTAATGGATAATAGGCCGTAGATCCCAACTAACTATTAACAACAAGCTTCCACTACATAAATTCATACTAAAGCCCATATGGCATATGGAATCCAGCTGTGAGGTACAACATCCAACTCAACTATAGACATACTGGAAAGATGTCAGTCCAAAATACTCAGAATCCTTGTAAATGCGCCATGGTATGTCTTCAACAATCTTATTGCCAGTGACCTTCAAATGAAGTAAGTCAAAGAAGAAATATCCGTTTTCTCACAGAAGAATGCTTACCGCATCGAAAATCATTCTAACGCGTTAGCACAACCGCTGATGAGACCTCTCTTCCAGAGAAATGTATGCTGAGTAAAAAATCTCTGCACATGTATTATTGGTAAAAGTCTTGAAATTATTAGAGATTAGCTATTTCTTACATACACCTACCTCTAATAGCCACTTGTTTCAAATGAAATTGAAAAAGAGTTAAATTTGAAATTAGATTTTTCATGGGTAAAATGTTATATTCATTCAAACATCGTATGGTAATCTATAATTATGGAAAATAGGTATACCCTGGTAAGGGATAGCGACAAAAAAATTATACAAATGTATTCATCTTTAAATAATGTTTATTATTAATATTATTATTTGCTATGTTTGAAAAGTACCTCCTGCTGCACAGCAGATCAAATAGCTTAGATGACTAGTTGGAGAAGGTCCACCTAGTCACCAAATTAAGAGACTAGGAAAACTTTTACATGACTGGGGACACAACAGAAATACACACACACAAGATACACAAACAGACGACATAACAGGGGTTAGCCTTCAGCAACGTCCTGTTTAAATGATGATAGTATGTCATCCTTCATTCCCTTTTAGAAGGCATGGCATATAAATCTCTTGATCTTGATGACCCTAAGATGAGTTAGCAGGGAGTGTGTGGAATGGGTCTAGCAGGTTTCGATCCAGTTTACTTACTCGACTCGGGCCTTATACATTTGTGTATGTGTATCTTTGTTTCGTTTTCATGGTTTCTATTAAAATAAACAAATGGCACTTATGATAGTCTGCCAAAAAGGTAACGATATACTCTACACTTTATAAAATATTTGTTACATTATTTTTTAAATATATTAGGAATATAAAACAACTGTGACTTTCTTTGTAATTTGTCACAAAATGATACGAAGTACTTTCTAAACGTAAGAATTGTAGTATTTTTTCTGTACCTTACAAAAATATAATTTATAGAAAAAGAGTTTGGTGTATTATTTTTCCAAGTTTAGATATTTAATAATCAATAGAATTTTCAAGTTTTTTTAGCGAAATTTACAAAAGTAATAAAAACTATGTTCACTGCTTATATTAAACTGATTAAAACTTAATTTATTAAAATGATTATTTATATGATAAAAAAATTTGATGTTATTGGAAGCTTTTATATTTTTTAATATACAGTGAAACAATTGTTTTTGTTTCTCCTGTAAATTTGTATAGAAAAACTATATTTCTGAATCCATGTTTGAATTTCCCGCCCTAAAACATTTTTAATTTTCCCGCTATTTACTAGTAACGTCATTATAGACTGGTTGCGGTTAAAATCGCCCAAACAACTTTTACCGAACAAAAAAAAAATACATTGAGTTACACGTCTCGCTGGGTTGTCTCTGGCCCTACACACAAAAAAATGGGCTAAACTACCAACCCAAAACATTTAAAGCCAACTCCAATTATAATTTTTCGTAACAATTTTATGGATTTTTGGTTGGTAGTATCTTTTGATTAGAAACAACCCTCTTGAAAAACACCCGTCGCCGCCAATGGCTCCGAGTGGGTTTATCTTTTATTTATTCAAATTATGCGAACGAAAACGTGGTTTATAGTGTGTGCAATCTATGAGAAAATGTTTATTTAATAAAGTTATATGAACACAAGATACTATTATTAGATAAAAAATTATTTTTAAGGCTACACCGTTATTAGAAGTTAAGTTGTGGGATTTTTCGTCGGTAGTTCTATAATTGAAATATTATTATATTACCGTTACGTTGCGTGTCACTAGTTTAATTTTGGATAAAAAAACTATAACGTAATTATGGGTGTATTAGAAAGAGCGGTATGATATGTTTTATTCGTAAATTTTTCATGTCACGCAGAGGTTCTCTAAATTAAAAAAAAAAATTTGTAACGTATTGAAATATAAAATCATTGTTCTACAATAGTATATTATATTACGAGTGTGAAAGGTGACATTTTTTACAGGAGTGGTAATTATTGTAGCGCAAAGCATAAGCCGAGTGCGACAGTCACGCGAGTGTGAAAAATCACTGTCACACAAGTGATGTACAATATTTTGCCAACGACCAAAAAATAATTTTATCAAAAAAATGTAAAATTAGGAAATATGGCTATTAAGGTTCCATTAAGATGTGGCTGATTTTAGATGTATTTTTTATATGCCTTGTAAAATTTTTAAAGCGTTTTACAGATATTTTGTCAAAAATTAAAAATATTGTGATTCTATTTACAAACAATTTTTATATATTTTTTCAAAATAAAAAAATTAAAAAAAAGATAGTTAATTGGAAAAAAGTAGCTTTATTTTGAACTGTATTAATCACAAAAAAAATCCAAAATTTTTGAACATGCCAAATTTTATAATTGTGTTTAATGCAATATTCACGATGATTTGCAGGGTTATAGTAATAATTGTAGTGCTAATTGTTAGAAATAAAGTAATATATCGTATTTTTTCTCTTTTACCGCTTCAACCTCAAAAGGTTATTAGCGGAGGAATGGTACATTAAAAATATGTACTTTTTTTAAATGAATGCAATGAATGAATAATGTTTTCTACACTCACATGGATATTAGCCTATCCACGCAGACTACAAAATGAAAAAGTAT